TATATAGGGCATAAGTGCTCGGCACTTCAGTTGGTGCCTTGAGAAACTGTCGAATCGATCGCAATAAGAGCAGTGTGAAAAGTGTGGCTAACCATCGTGCGAATGTCGTGGATATAGTCGAAAATATTGGAAACGTGGATCCTGAATAGTTCGCGAATATTTGAGATGAAGTGTGTTTTATAATAGAAATGGCAGAAAACTTGGAAGTAGATTTTGAGGAGATATTGAATGAAGATTCATCCGACGAAGAATCCGTGTTATCCGATGACACCGGTTTTGCCAGTGACGCGAGCGAATACGAAACGGATCTTGAAGAAAAATTTATACCAGCTGCGGAAATCCGTGCACTGAACGACCGTACCAAATACTGCATGATCCAGTCTTACTACACAATGGGTGGTCCTTTAACCGTATGTACCCCATGCATAGTCCTTTTGGCTGACATCGACACTGTGGGAATGTATTTGATAAAGAAGCACAATATCAATTATATTGATGCGCTAAGCGGTCGTTCTTGCACGAACTGCAGAGTGGCACTGTACACTATACATCCATGCAACAGATGTCCACAGTGCACAAATAAAAAACTATTTTTGAACAGTATTGTGAGCGAGACATGGAAAATATGTGGGAATTAATTAATAAGAAATTAATTAAATGCAGTCCAAGAGATGTAACTCGAGATAATGCAACATAAACCTGACCGCAACTAAATACGAGGGGCACTACTTATATTGTGAGCCTTGGCAACACTGAGTGTTGTCAGGTGCCATCGGACGTTTCCACTAGAAAATTTAATATTTTTGACCATAACTTTCTTCAGAACGTTTTGTTATTTGAGCGCGATTTGTATTGTTTACAGTCACTTGAAAATTGTGTCTCAGCGAAAAAATGGAATTAACTCGTGAAAATTTTCGTGCAATAATTTATTATGACTTCCGACGTGGATTATCAAGACAGGAGTGCATCGATCAACTTACTTCCACTTTTGGCGATAAAGCCCCATCCTTTGCCACTGTGAAACGCTGGTATAAAGAATTTAATCGTGGTCGCCGTTCGCTCACCGACGAAAGTCGTGAAGGTCGTCCAAAATCAGTTGTTGTGTCAGAAAACATTGATGCTGTGCAAAAACTAATAATGCAAGATCGTCATGTGACATACTGTGAGATTGAGACAACCTTGGGCATTAGTTCAACCAGCATATATGAAATATTGCATAATCATTTAGCCGTGAAAAAGGTTTGTTCTCGTTGGATCCCACATAATGTGACAAAATCTCAAAAAGATGCTCGTGTCGATTGGTGCAAACAAATGCTTAAGAAATACAATGGCGGTGCTTCAAAAGACGTGTATAAGATTGTAACAGGTGACGAATCATGGATCTATGTGTATGAGCCGGAAACTAAACAGCAGTCGACTGTATGGGTGTTTCAAGATGAACCAAATCCAACAAAAGTTGTTCGCGCTCGAAGCACTTCGAAACAAATGGTCGCCTGTTTTTTCGGAAAAACTGGTCATGTGACAACAGTGCCTTTAGAGGAACGTAAAACGGTCAATTCTGAATGGTACATAACCATTTGTTTGCCGGAAGTCTTCAGTGAAATAAGGAAAACAAATAAGCGCCGCCGGATCATTCTTCATCAAGACAATGCCAGCTGTCACACATCTCGTCTAACAACCGACTATTTGAGCACTCAAAAAATCGAAGTAATGGGTCATCCGCCGTACAGTCCGGATTTGGCACCAAATGACTTCTTTTGTTCCCGAACGTCAAGAATAAATTGCGTGGACAACAATTTTCGTCGGCAGAAGAAGCCGTTGATGCGTTCAAAGATTTTGGAGGTGTCTCAAGCGGAATGGAAAAAATGCTTTGACAAGTGGTTCGAACGCATGCAAAAGTGTATAGATCATAAAGGAGAATATTTTGAAAAACAATAAATGACAAATTATTGTTTTTTTATTATTATTTTTATAATTAGGCTCAAAATATAAATAGTGACCCTCGTATAACTGTAGCAATTGTACCATTTACAAGACCCAAACTAGCATCAATATTACGTCTTATCATAACTTTCGCTCCAATTTTAATCGTAATTCGTTTTGAAAGTCCAGCTGTTCTAGTATCATCATCATCAATATTTGACAATACCTTTGTTACTTTTTTTTTCATATATGAAATACAATCAATCGTATCTTAAGCAATTAAAAGTATTTCTTTTGAAGTAATACGACTTAACATTGCAGCATTTAATTCGTTACACATGTGACAAGTAGGTAATAAACAAACTGTATCAGATGGTAAATTATTAATAAAATCACATAATTCATTTAATCTTGTTTCAAAAGATTCACCTTTGAAAGATATTTTTCTTTTTTCAAGAGTATCATAATCAGATGGTGTTAATAAACCAACACGAATCCTGGAAAGTAACTCACGATAAGATCCGTCTCCTTACTGGCGCATATTGATTGTCAGTTCATTATAATCAAACAAAGTAGTCCACAGATTAGTAACACTTAAAGAAGCAAGTTATTTACGAATGTTCTCAGCTGTTAATTGTATAAAGGAAGGATCTTCATGTACAGGAGGTAACTGAAACAGATTTCCAAATAAAAGAATGTGCTTTTGACCGAACCAACCATCATCACAATCAGTAGTATCGTATATTTCAGATAGTCGTAAGTGTATATACATAAGAATTAAATTAGATATCATTGACACTTCATCAATTATAATAAGACTAACATCTTTAAGATCTGCTCGTAAAACTTTCAAAACGTGGTTAGCTAATTGCTTATACTTAGGAGTATGGCCATGCTCAACAGGTAATTGCAATAATCTGTGAACTGTCAAACCGTCTATATTAAACGCTGCTATACCAGTAGGTGCTGCTACAGCAGTATTCTTCTTGAGATTTTGTTTTAACCAACATTTGATTGTTTTTATTAAAAAACTTTTGCCAGTACCTCCTTCTCCACTAACGTACAATCGTAGTAGTGATTTACCTGACGTTATGGTATTAGTGACTCTATCAAATACTCTTCTTTGATCCGCATTCAATTTTGAAATCATTTCGGATATATCAATTTCCTGTTTGTCACCAAGATCCTTAAAATCTTGCATCGCATCACCAGCTTGAATATTTTGTACACCTACTGGATTATCAGGATCATCTTGAGACGTATTCTGTTTTTCTAAGTCATCGAGATATTGTTGAAGTAATTGCTTCGCAGTTTCCAATGCATTTTTCAATTCCTCTGATTCTTCATGATACTCCAATGCTTTTTCAAGATATAATTCGTCATTGCGAAATAATTCTGCATAAGTATCATATCCATTTTTAAGATCTTGTATTTTCCGCCATGATTTAAACATAAGAAGTAATGAAAAGAAATAATTTTCCGGTTGCGTATTGACATCATATCTATAGTAATTGATAAGACATTCACGTTGTCGCCGTTTCAAATAATAACCGTTACTCATTTTATAATATACAATTTTTTTACTGGTTGGTTTGATTTTCGTTACGTCATGCCACTGTACAAATTCATATAAAGACATCGTTTCAAATTCTTCCGGTCTATTTGGATAATGACTATCTATTACAGATGGACAAAATATGTCAGTAGAATCTCCATCAAGAACTTGAATTTCTTTATAACTTTTGACTTTTCTATATCGTATCTGACTAACATCTAACCACTTAATAGTTGTGTTTCTATCAGTTCCATGTAGAGGAATACCTAACAATGTATCAGCTGCTTCAAGAGCTCCACATTCTCTGTTATTAATGAGTCGCAAAGCAATATTCCAAAGATAGCTCGCCAATGATTTGTTCTTATTATTTGTGCTATTAAGAACAGTATCAGATAATTCACATTTCGCTGCTTTATTCACATACTTAGTAACATAATACGTAAGCAACCTTGTATTGTCACCAATAAATTGTATATCCATATTTCCTTCCCAAACAGTAAGTATAATGCGATTATAATCATTTATATCTGTTCATCATCTGTTCGTGGAAGGTCATAAAGTCTACTTTTATATTTCAATTGTTTTCTACCTGCTATCGAACTTACAACATCTCTCAAAATCAATGTGTCGGTAGAAGGACGAGGAAAATCAAAACGACATATACGATAAACTTTATGACCTTTTTTCTTAGAACGAAGACAATAGTCATTATGTATATGTCGTTGATGCGTATTGACTCGCCTATATGATGTTGGTGAAGATATTTCGTTCGGTAATTCACACGTTATATATTGTAAAATAAATTTAGAAACTTCTTCCGCAGGAGATTTACCAAGAATTGGCGCATTTTTAATCCACACTAATAGATCAAGATGTTGTACACCTCTACCTTGATATTCTCGTCGCCAGAAGTAATGTATTACTTCTCCAATTGGATGATCTTTGGAACAAATAAAATCAAGCTTCGCCTGAAACTTATTATCGAGAAATCTCGATGTTGATGCAGGATCTCTAGCAATAAGAACACTAGTAGATAAAGAGGAATTATTAGACCATCCATTTACTTGACGAATATATTCACCTAAGTCATCCCACAACCATTCATTAGGACTCAATGTTATAAAAAATGTCGCAGATCCGTAATGTTGTATCATACACTCTAAATCACTTCTTGGACTACGCCAATATTGTTCTGTATTTCTTAGAGTGGAAAAAATTGTATCCAAATCCGATTCTAATAATTCTTTATGCAATGCTTCTAAATATTTTTTAACCGTATAACGGTCCCGCAATTTAGTTACATTCAATTTATGGTAAATACCACGACTTAATTGACGCATATTCGCATTATTTAACAAATAAAATAAGTATTGTTGATTTAATCTGTATTGCGAATGTTTAGATTTCAAATGACATTTAATAAATTCATGGTCATGAAGTTTAACCGGCCTAGTTTCATGTTGTCCATTAGTACCAAAAGGATACAAGTCTGGGAAACACAATAGATCTAAATCTTTTTCACGGTTATCCAAAGGCAATGCCTGAATTTTTAACATTTGGTATAAAGTGTTATCATTCTTATATGACTTTTTTTCATATAAAAGGTAAATAGTATATTGATCATAATAACTATCATCACTCTCATCAATCTGAGTTAACATAGCCTGACACTTATCGTTAAAATAACTAACGTTATTTTCTGTTTCTTGTATTTCAATTTTTGGGTACAATTCGTGATTGTCATACAAAACAGATTCTTTATCATTTTCTATGTCTTGTATTACAAATTCCGGATTATTTAATTCTTCCAAATGTAATTTATCAGTAGTATTTGGCAATATAATATGTTCATAAAAAGGATTGTTACGTTTCAACCATATTAAAGCATTATATATTTTTTTTTATCTACCATGTTTTCTCAAATAATTTTGGAATTTGTCGGAACACCTCTAACTAAAATAATTTCATGATTTTTATTTATTGGATCGGTACTTTTACACAATTTGTTCAATGTTTCTTATAGAGGAAGTGGTAAATGAAATGTGCTACCTTTTGTTTTTTGTACCATTTGCCTTTGGGGCAATTTTTTATTAATAACAGTTCCCATTTTAACAATAGTTTGAAATGCCTTAGCTCTTTGTATAAGCATTTTTTCGTATTGTTTAAGAGATGCTATTTCATCGGGTACATTAAGTGCAAATAGATTATTCAAAACACTATATGCAGGCAAAACTCCATTACGAAATTTTCGTTGGTAGTAATCACAGATATATTCTGGTTGAATATCATGCTTTTTTATATACGCCATTAAGTCTTTTATAAATGGAGATTCAGCCATTCGTACTTTAAACTTATTAAATTGAGACACATTTTTTTATAACAAAGTCTCCCACACGATACACAAGCATATCGAGGTGTATCCATGCAACGTTTAGTATAAGCCTTAAATGCATTCTTAAATTCAGAAAAAATTTCTTTCTTACTCAAACTAGTACAAGTTTGTTCATGTCTGTACATATGCTTTGCTTTTTCTTCTGTCAAAGTTATAATTCCATTTAATGTTTCTAAATCAGAAGAAATTAAAGCTTTCTCTAAATCTAACATCTTTCGATAGAAATTCGTTAGTTGATAAATCAAACGTTTAATATTTCTAACCTTTGGAAAATGAGGCGATAATAAGTAAATGGGAAGAGACATCGCTTTACAAAGAGTTGTATCAATATAACAACTATGCGTATGACCCTATTTCGTATTCGAATCTGTTTTTATTGTACATTTATGAATCTTTTGTAACAAATCTGATATTTTCTTAAAGGTACATATACTTATCGCTTGGAGGACTTTTTCATAACAATTAATTAGAAACGGATCAATTTTACATAAGTTATCATCGCATAACCATGCTTTTTTGCTTGTGCTTCTATCAAAGGTAATACGTATCAAAGGTAATTTGATCCTCCACATTTGTTATTAAATGTTGTGATGAAGAAACATTACAATATGTAAAATCGATAAAATAATTTTTGGACGAAGCTGTATGTCTCGATTTGCCACAAAGAGCACATAATTTTTCATCAATTGTTTCGGATTTAGTAGCAAGACTCACACACTTCTGATTTCTTTTTAAGCAAGGCTAATATTTTATACATATCACGAATATAACTGTTTCGAATTTGCATACAATGATGTACAATTCTTTCGGCTTTCAATCGTTTTTCAATGTGATTTTTGATATCTAATTTGTTAAAAATATGTTCGATTGCCACGGGATTATAATATTTTATGTAATTTCGTGACCAAAATTTGTTATATTTTCTAATAATATTTTAGCAGTATCACAATTTTTGTTTACAAGACTAGATTTTGAATTCCTTTTCTCATAACATCGTTTATTGTACAACCACTTACGGTCACAATAAAATTTTTGTCTATCGCGTTCATGCTGAAAATTTGTCAAGTAACGCATTCGTTTTTTAGTGCGATAATTTTCTAAGTCGGCTTCATATTGTGAACGTTTTTTAGCACGATTACTTTCTAAATTCTCTCTATAACGATGCATTTCTTTAGCGCGATTATTTGCCAAATCCCTTCTGTATCGCTGCACTTGTTTAGCGCGATTATTTTCCAAATCTCTTCTGTATCAATGCAATTTTTTAGCGCGATTATTTTCCAAATCCTTTCTGTATCGCTGCATTTGTTTAGCGCGATTATTTTCCAAATCTTTTCTGTATCGATGCAGTTGTTTAGCGCGATTATTTTCCAAATCCTTTCTGTATCGCTGCATTTGTTTAGCGCGATTATTTTCCAAATCCTTTCTGTATCGCTGCATTTTTTTTACACGATTTTGTAAATTTTGTTGATATTGTTGACGTTTTTGGAAACGATTATATTCCAAATTCTCTTTATATTTGCAACGTCTTTTAGCACGTTTATTTTCTAAATTTTGTTCGTCTAAGCAACGCTTTATATTGGGATTATTTTTGGAATCTTCTTGACATACATTTTCAAAATATTTATTATTACACGTATCGTTATTTTGCTCAGTCCGATTATTACTGTGTGTGACTATTTCTTTTATAATTTCCTGCGAAACGATTTACGTTAATTGTATATCACGATTACTTTTTGAAGTCTTTTTATATGGCTTTTCAAAATGTTTATTGTCATTTTGTTCAATTTGAGTATTATTAACTAATCTTGCTCTTATTACTTCTGTTGAAAGTACTTTTTGAGGATGAGCATATTGTGGGTCTTGAGGGAAATGCTCAATTACATTTGTTTGAAGAATTTTTACCAAATGCGAACGCATTAACTTATGATCATATGTCACTTTGTCAGATTTAATGTTAAATAATAATAACGTCGCATAGGCTATAGCAAAAACACCACAATCGCTACAGTTCGGTTGATGGTGCACTTTAGAAAATTTAACAGGATTTTTTTTAAAGTCATATGTTGTAAATAATCTCTTCAAAAATATCTCGTGATGTTCGTGCAATCTTTTATTATTGAAAGAATCGTATATAAATATATTTTCCCTATTGTAATAGCTGCATACCCAATATCCATCCAATGAACTGGATCCACTATGTAATATTTGAATATGCTTTTTATCTTTCGGTACGGGTTGTATCGTGTGAGGAAGTTGTTTGCGCCATGTGTC